CGATCGTGCCTGTCGGTCTTCCGATGCGCTGTCCGTTCCTCCACTCATCCAAGTCCGGGAGGCGACATATCAAAACAATCAAGTAGAGGCGGGGAAGACAGATGAGGGGCGTCTCGCCTCTGGTGTCTAGCGTATGACGGGCGGGCGCCGGGAGATGTGCAGACACAGGCGCGCGCAAAAAACGTCCGATGCAGGCTGCGAGGCTCGTTCGCCGCCCGTCTTCCCGCGAAACTTGATGACAAGCGCGATGCGTTGGACATCCATCCACCCAAGACATGCAACGCTCGTCCATTCAGGACCCCGGGGGAGCATGGAAGAGGAGCCGAACCCGCCAACCTGCTCCCCCTCACTCTCCGCTTCCGTCGCAGCCGGGCGGCCACCGCGCATGTTTGTGATCCCGTTGACACTGGGGCGGGAAAGGCTCCCAAAAGAGCCGTCGTGGTCAACCCCCCCAACCTCCCCGCCGTTGGCCTCCAGCGCTCCACTGCCCACCCGAGCCACCCCAGTCGTTGGGGGGTGTGTCTCTGGACAATGGCCTGTCTCCCACCCGCCCCCGGCCCACTCGATCAACGCACTGCGGGCAAGGGTTTCGCTGCATGGAAGGGTTCTCCCGGGGAGAAGGCTGGGCTTCCAGGTTTCCTTCGCTGTTGGTCTCGGACTCGCAGACTTTCAGCATGCCCGACGTGCAGCGGTGGACCACCAGATCTCCATTCTCCCTTTCCGAGATCGCGCGGGGCCTCGTCGATCCGGTCTGGCAGTGTGCTTGCTTGCTTGCCACTTGCTCAAGCATTGCGGCGGAATGAATGGGCGAGCCCAGCGGGCCGGATATCATCGCCATGGCTGCACCGGCCCGTCCACGCAGAGACAAGCAAACAAGGCCAGACAAACTTGTCTCGCCTCTTCCGGTCTGTCGGGTTGATGACAAGAACTGCGTCGAAGAGGCAAAGACATGCAGAAGGGAACGGCGCAGTCGGCTGCTTTTGCCGCCAACGTCGAACTGCCGAGATCACCACGGGGCGTGAAGGTTTTGTCGTTCATCTAGGGGCGGTCATCTTTTCCCCTTTTTTTTCCACTACCCTCGGCCGGGTTTGACAGCGGCAGATGCAAACCGCCATCGGGGTCCCGTCCACGTTGAAGCTACGAGTACGCTACTACCTCTGTAAGCAACACGGGACCAGGCGACACAGCGGGACGCGAGGCACAGCACGGTCAGCAAAGGTAGTGTAGATGTTCGATTCGCAGTGCATGATTTCCGTGCTCACAACAGAGATATCGCCACGACTGTACATGCTATTTCTTGCATACCCGAGAAACGTTGTATCCCTTCTCATCTCTCGCGGGCGGCTGTATAAAACGATAACGTCAAAGGTTCACTCGGGCTTTGTCTGAAGGAAACCCCGTTCCGAAAAAAAGATCGAAAAACACCGGACACGGGCTAACTAGCCTGGCGAGGGAGCTGGTTGTCTCCCTCTTTTCTTGCGCCCCACGCCAGGGAAACAAAACCCATGGTTCCGCCGTTTTTCTCCGAAAAGACTAGACAAAACTCGCCGGAGGGTGGCAAGACGGCGTAATCATCAGGAATCCAAGGGTCGGCCTCGCTGAAGGACAAAAAAGCTGGGCCAATTAATATCTCTCAGGAAGGCACAGCAGAGAGACACGTGCCATTGCAAATGGGACTCCTGAACAATCTCATGATATCTAATTAGGGTGATGATACAGGAGAAACCCCCATGGCGGAATCGGTATCGATGGTGGACTCCACGTCGTACGCAGCAGCAACGCAATACCCTTGCTCCGCCTTCCAAATCAGCGTGAACGGGATCTCCATCACCAAAGCCAGATACCCGTCCTCGCAGCTGCATCCAAACACAGTTGCTTCCAGTTGCGCTGCGCAGCCCACGCACCTTTGACGCAGGCACACACACCCTCTCTCTCCCTTCTCCCGATGGCCCCTCCACTTCGAAGGCCCCCCTGGCCTCCGCTGTGCCGCCGCCGCCGGGCAAGGAGGGCTCCGCTTATGCAAGGAGCTTGGTCACCTTCCTGGCACTTGCTGGGGCGAGCCCTGATGCGCAAACCCACCTACCTTCTTTTGTCCTTTTCTTTTCGATCTCCCCTGTGCTGTCTGAGGGTCTCGCTTGTCTTTTCCTGGTGTTGATATTCTGCGCGCGCTGGGTTGGGGGTCGGATCATGGATGGACGTCGTTATGGGGTCTGGCCTCGACCGGTAACGTTTATGGGTCAAGTATGGCAGGGTATATTTCGAAGTTTGGACATGGGGAGGTGGATAGATCTGGGGTTGTTTGAAACGGGCGCGATAACTTTCGGACTTCTCTCATCAAATCCCCCTTTTACACTACAATATCCCTAATTACTCCTTCCTATCTCGTCAATTGATGAAAGGGAGGCTATTTTCGGGGGCGTTGCGGAACCACCTAGCGGGCCAAGCTCAAAAGAAGATTTTGGGATATCCCACCGCCGGGCCGAGATGCTCGAGAATGATGGATGGATGCATACATGCATGTGTGGGCGGGAGGAGAGAGAGAGAAGTGTGTGGGTGTGCAACCCCGGCCTGTTCGCCGCTGTTCTCGAAACGAGAAGTCTCAAATCAAACACAATGGGTCTGTCACGGCATCAGAACTTCCATGGAGTCCTCTCCATCGAAAAACAAGTTTACTATGGTAAACCCAAAATTTTAGCAGAATCGTGCACTGTGTGCGTACATTAATCCACCAAACACAGAGCGCGCAACTCGTTGAATGCGAACTAAACTCTCTAGAGCACCGAAAAATCGCCAGTATCGCATGTGATGAGGTGATAGTTAACCAACTCGGGCTGCCTCGAAAGTCAGCGGGTTGTTCCGGCCAGGCCGTTCCCGAAAGAGAGTGGGAGGCAAGTGCCAAGCGAGCGGCACACGAAGGCGGAGGAGGGTTTAACGACTGGATCGTTTTTCTACACTATTCTCTTGTTGATGGCAGAGGAGGAAGACCAGGACAAAATGAAAGATGGGTGGGTGTGGAAAGAGAGAGAGAGAGGAAGGACACTGTGTGGTACTGTGGTAGGTGGGGGCGGAGGGAGAAGGGATGGACATGGGTCAGGGGGGCAAAGGGCGATGGGTTCTTGAGGATTCAACGGAAGGGCCATCATCGAATGGGGTCGTTTGAATGCGGTCAAATGGGCTGGGACTGGGCCGCGGTGGGAATGAGAGAGGGTGTGAGATGGTCAAGCTAGGCCTTGATATTTTTTTTGGCGGGATTTGTTGCTTACTTTTTTTCGGATGAAAAACACGCAGTGGGAAAGCCGCGAGGTCGTGTGGGGGATTGTGGGCGGACGGTGGATTCCGGGTTTTTTTCATCGCCCTGAGAGGCGGGGTTTCTTTCGGAGGTGAGTAATAACTACACGTGTATTCGTAGAATGGCCGCCTCAAAGGTCGAAGGGAAGGGGCGATAGTCAGGATGAGCGCAAAGAGGGGAAGGAGGCATGGAGATCCGGAAACCGGGAGTGATTGGGAAGCTGCTGTGGGCGAAGCTGCCGTCAGTTGTCTAAACACCGACGTTGTGGGCTGGGACCCTTCATCGCAACGAAAACGTGGACGTGACTAATACAAACCTCGGACTGCAGCAGACTTGCGTCGGCAGCCCGTGTGGGCGAGAACTCGAATCAATGTCTGAGAGGGCAGCGGTCGATTTCCCGGGATCGTCTGCACGCGCTACTGCGCAGCCGGCAGCCAGAAAGCTGTGCATCCCACGAACTGCTGTGGCTGCCCTGCTGCACGGGGTGCAGGACCAAGCAACTTACGCAGTAGCGCCCCCAGCCCTCCCGTCTGCTTCGTGGTGAGCAGGCACGCCCCAAGAAGGCGGAGGCACAGCGGGCGCAGAAACCCACGACCTTGCATGGCTTAGCACCTGCGCGGTAAACCTCTCCCCACAGCCCCTCCTTCCCCCAGATCGTGGATCGTTGGGGGAGGGGCGTGCCGCGCGCAGTAGTGCGGGCATCGCACATATGTACATACAGCATACGTACATGCGTTCAATGCGTGCTGCAAGCAAGGTTAGTTCAACGACTTGCAGATACCCGTCGAGGTGCAGGTTTGTTCGCTCAGGAGCTGGTCGGTGTGCGGTCACCACTAACTACCTACTCCATCCTCTTAGTTCAACGTGAGCTCACGACAATTATTCCACCCCTTCCATCTACCCCAAGGGATCCGGACGGAGAGACGCTATAGCCAGGGATCCGGGGGATATGACAGTGCCATCACACCCCTTTGACAGGTTACCTCGCCAGGAAACATGGAACAGGGAAACATGAGGAAACACCACCAGTGTCAGTGTAGTGTATAGCCACGACGTCGATCAGAGGAGGAATAGACGGAAGGTCCGAGACCAAACTCTCAACCCCTCAGGCTTAGACCGTCAGCTTACGACGATAACTAACGTTAATGGTTCGCCCAGTTAATTAACGTGGGCAACGAGGAACAAGCCCAACCCGGGGAAAAGAGAGTCCCCCTCTCTAGGGAGGTGACACTAAACACGTCTCACAGAGGAGCCAGAGTTGCCATGACGGAGAAACCCGGCTGATGGTTCCACGACCGAGTCTTGCCTCTTGAGGGGCGCAGGACGACTCGGCGCAAACAAAGTTGATACGAAATGCTGCGTAGAGAACAGCCAGGCAAACACGATTGCTACCAGGAAATGCATGATGTTTGCTTTGAGCAGGTTATGCTTAAAAGCTCCAGCCCCCCAACGGCCCGCTTGGGATACTGAGGTCACGTGACTTCGCGCATGTGGTGCGGCAGGAACATGAGATGGTTGCCCCGGAACGACGCGAGTCGAGCCTGCCGTCGCGGTGGAGTTGGTTGGCTGGTCACAGCTTCCTACTCGCTCCTGTTTTGTTCGTTTCTGTCTGCGGGTTTTTCTTCTTAGAGTTTTTGGTTAGATTTTTAAACAAAAAATGTAATAATATCTTCAACCCAAATCAGACGGGCCATCGTAACATATTCCCACGATGCCACCTCCCAAAGCAAACCTTCCTCCGCCGGCGGAGCCACGATACAGCCGCAACTTCGACCCATGGAACTGCGTTGGGACCGGCCATCAACGCGCCGAGACCCGCGGGCCGCAGGGATGGCGCGAGTCGCGCAACTTGAAGATGAGCAGCCAGTTCCGCGCCGGCAACTCGGGTGGTGAACGCGTCTCGGACACCGTCGGGGTCGGGTCCGAAGACTTTGACGAGCGCATCGGCATGCTTGTTCCCAAGGATGTTCGGGTGCGCGCAAAGAAGAGCGTGGTCGGTATGCTACACAACCCGGGGATTATGAAGCCGAAGCCGGCGTCTCGGCAGCCTTTCCCGTCGGCGGCATCGGCATCGGCATCTTCTTCGCCGTCGTTAACGATGTCTCGGCCCGGCCTGCCACAGGAGAAGGGGGTATCGGGTGCGCCGGTTGAAGAAATTGGCGGCGATGATCCTCGTGGGCTCACGGCCGAAGAGAACCTGGCCCAGACCCGCAAGGCGGAAGACGAAGAACGAGACGAAGAGAGGAAACGGCGGTCGGAGGAGCGGAAGATCTTTGACGGCCTCATCATCTACGTCAACGGCAGCACTCACCCGCTCGTGTCCGACCACAGGCTGAAGCATCTCCTATCGGGGAACGGAGCGCGGGTGTCTCTCCACCTGGGCCGTCGTCAGGTTACTCATGTTATCTTGGGGAAACCGTCCACCGGCCCCGGCGGAGGTGCCGGCGGTGGGCTGGCGAGCGGCAAGCTGGAGAAGGAGATCAGGCGTGTCGGAGGCTGCGGCGTCAAGTTTGTTGGTGTCGAGTGGTGAGTTTTCCCTTTCTCTCATGATACAACCACCCTCATATGTTCTGAGTTTCCTTTGTCCTCCCTTCTTCCCCTTCGACCAGTCCATGTGTCTCGGGACGTATGGATACTGTGCAGAACTAGCTGGCTGACGGGACCACAAACGCGCCGATCCAGGGTACTGGAGAGCATCAAAGCCGGGAAGCGGCTGCCCGAAGCGCGCTTCGCCAATCTCAAAATCGCCGCTCGGCGCCAGCAGAGTGTTCTCGGGGCCTTCTCGAAGACCGACGGAAACACGCAGCAGCCAGCCGCGGTGCCCCCTAGAAACTAACACACCGCCCCTCGACGGTGGACCCGAAACGTTTTGGTGTCTTTTGTACCCTAATCTGATTTTTTTCGTCTGTCTTCTACTCTTGCATTTTCGGGGGGTCATAAGGGGGGACGATCTGGCGGACGTCTGAGATGTGGAACAAGGCTACTTCATTATTCATCTGTGTGAGGGGTTCTACTGGCTGATTCTTGTTTGCCACGGGCGCGTTTGGCTGCAGCATATATTGCCCTGCAGAAGGAGACGACGTCTGGATAGGCTTGATGAGGTTTTCGGTTACACGATGAAACGGGGCGCTTGACGGGTACTTGCATCACGACGTCGCATTTTGCATCTTCATTTTTCGCATCGGGAGGTTGGACAAGACCAGGCGCTAGGAAATGGCATGCATAACTGCACGACTTTGTGTTTCTCTTGGTTCATGATCTGCCGTAACCCCAGCCCATGGTTGGCTCGCTGGGTTTTGTTTACTTGGGGTTTTGTGTTCCCACGAGACGAGAACTTCATTCTCGTGGGGGTTTTCTGTTTCGAGTGCCGCTGGGTAACCTATCAGGCTATTATTGGCTTTGAGACATTGAAAGATAAGTGCCTCGCAGGTAGCTCAAGGCTAGCCCAGCTAAGTACACCAGCAAAGAGAACTCTTTACCCCCATTCCTCCTAACCCAACCCGCAGTACCCAAGAAACTCTGTAGGTCCATCACCCCTTCCCACTCTCGCCCCGGCCAGCCAGAGCTGACCATGTCTCGGCTTCTAGACGCTTGTGTTCGCACACCACCAGACCAGCTCGTTCCGCTTTGTACGCTGGTTATACCAACCAGCCCATCCAGCCCAAGTCAAGCCAAGCTAGCCAAGTACAGTCACAACCATCTCGTCCTCCTCGTCGGACAATTCCCCGTCGTCACACTCGTTTTCTCCCTTTCCTTCTCTCTCCTTTCTCACCTTCTGTTTTTCGCAAGCGGCGGTGGCGGCGGCTTGACAGAAGGCGTTGTGGTTGATATTGAGGGATTTGAACCCGGGTTTTGGCAGGGTTGTTCGGGTTGAACTCCCCAATCAATCCGCTAGACGCCACACCATCATATACCCCGTGATGCCCCCCCCCCCTTTTTTTCCCTGTCGGGTATCACACGGCTCTTCATTCATACCCGCACTATCGAGATAGATGGTTGTGAGTATGGGGGGCGGAGGAGGGGTCCTTCTAACGAGGCGGTGACTGGTGTAATGTTACTCTTTTTTCGTGGTTTCCTTGGTATCGCCTTTCGGGTTTTCGTTCCGTTTGTTTCACCCTTCGTCTTGTCAAGGCATGAATGTTCTCGAGAGCCTCAAAATTAGATTCTTGGGGCGGACTACCACTAGCCATGCCCGGAAGGTAAGTGGAAATGGGGGATGGGAAGCACCGGAGGCTATCTATCTAATTACTGAGCATCCCGACCTCCCGACCCGAGAAAGTGCACATTCGGTTCTCGTCCTCGCCTCCTCGCCCGGTGTGGTAATCTAACCGAGTATTTATTTTAATTAGGTAGGTAACTAACACGATAACTCTCGTGATAAATCCCATCAACACCAACCAACTGCTGGGTTAGGTCTCACTCGACCGCGATCCAGCCAGGTCTCTTCCTCAGCCACCTATCTATCCCAAACCGGACTATCTAAATTCTCTTTCCCTTCTGTCACACGTGTAAGCAAACCAAACAACAGCTTCGAGTGGTTTCTGCCCAATAGGAATTTGGCTAGGCCCTACCTAGAAGCAGGTTCGATCGTACTGTGTTTCTTTTTTTTTTTTTTGTTTTGTTTGACATCGAATGTGTCAGTGCTACGTTGAATTCTCGTAATGGAGGTTCTTGAGTGACAGGCTTTTTAGAGGGGGTTGAACCATTGGCTAGGGGTATATTATCCTGAGTTACTGGTTAGTATTTACCGAGCAACCCGACTTAATACATGTTCTGATGTTCTACACTATCTAGACCGCCAACTATAGTGCCTTCGTCACAGTGTTATGAGTGTATCTTGTCGACACTGGTGTACACATCCGTATTGTAAACTAGGCCCCAACGGTCGTCTCCATGTTCATGAACCTTTTCCATCTCACTACTTACACCCGCGTGATGTTGCTACCAGTCTCGTATCCTCTTTCAACCCCGTTCTGTCTGCATTGTCCCTCACTTTTGCTCGGGGTAATATACCTATGTGTCATATCCGTTGACTCACACCACCACCCCACCTTGATAACCCCATACCATGGAGTCTCCATTCCAGATCAAGTAAACAGACGCCTGACCATCTACCCGGTGGAGCGCGGACGACCCGGCAAGACGGAATACGACATTGCAGGCTTCCTGCCATCTTGCATCACCACGTACTATGTACTGCACCATTGCACAGGATGACAGGAATAAATGGGGGTAACGATGTACAGACAGACGCTCGTAGTTACAGAGAGGTAGACATGGAGACAGGCAGACAGGTAGCAAGACAGACAGCAAGACAGAAGAGAGATGAACACCAACATGAGAGCACAGGTTTACTTATATACAAGCTCGGGAGTTGGTGTCTGGTGGTGTTCGTGGGAGGTAATACCTCGTACGCGAGGGGCTGGGGACCATAGTTATAATCACAGTTATTGTTGTAGCAGGCCTGCTGCGACCTCGCACAATATAATTTTTGTTCTCCCGGCTTTCTATTGCCGGCATCGCCCACATCTACCAACCATATTTCTGGGGTATGCCTTTCACCTCGTTTTGCGTACCGATGATTGTATCCGTGTTGCTTAGTGAGGAAATCATAGTTGGGTAAGCAGAGTGCAGGTGAAGGTGAACAAGGAAGTAGGCGGCCGTTTAATTATCAACTTCGCTGAGAAGCTATTCATCTAGATATTCAATCAACCCCTTACATTAAGGTCTCGGACATCAACAAGAATTTGAGGGATTATCACTAGTTACGTCCTCTCCTCAGTGCCTGGGCATGAAGGGCAGAAAACCATACTCGGCCGGACGTTCACACGTGTAATAGCCCACTCAACAGTCTTATCCCGTTAATTGGTCGTTTGTTTACACTTGGGGGGGGGGGGGGACCAAAGACACGCTTGTTGAAACCTGACCTACTCACGTTATAACTAGTATTCTCATATAAAAAT